TTCTTCATTTTTCCCTCTCCCAATAATTTGAAAATAAGCTGCAGATATAATATGGTACCTGGAAGCACTTCAACATGCATTTCCTAAGAGCAAGAACCTTCCACCATACCCAAGAAATGTAAAATTGATTCAATAATAGCACCTAATATGTCCCACCCCACTTGATGTTCTTACCAATAAGGGTAGAGGCTGGAACATCTTAATGACATTTATTTCTTTCTCCTTTTTCTTCCTTTCCTTTAATCTCTCCTTTCTTTCTCTCTTTGATACCACACCTCTCCTGTACATATTCAGATTTCCCTGATTATCCTTCACACTCTTCCTTATAGCTGTTTCTCCCTCTCATCCAGGACCTAACCAAAGTTCACACATTATATTTGGTTGCCAAGCTTTATATTAAATTTTAATAGGAAAATTAAAACGCTTCAAATTTCTTTTAAAATATCTCACTGCATTAATGCCCTCATCTAGCCCAATTAAAAATTTCTTTACATACCTTGTGCTGTTATTTTTGTCTATGGGTCTATGGCCTTGACAGAAAAAAAAACAACAAAAAAATCCTTGAAATGAAGTGTTAGCAGTTGGGTTGGTAAGTGTAATTTCGGTCTTTCTTATAAAAATCCCTAACTAAGCTTAAAGTGTTACAATTAAAACAGCATTTTGAGTATAAACATGAAAATAGAAAATAAATAATAATTAAAAAAAAAACCCACACCAACCCTGTGGATCTACAATGGATTAGAGTTTTTTGTTTTTTTTCTATACAATACTTGTAATGTTCTGAAACTTATATAGGCAGAAAAGAATGCTATTTTATAACAAAACAGACTATATATTGTTTTCAAAATAAAGCCAGATAGTCTATTCAGTCTGGAACAAGAAAGATAGTAATAAAAGAAATCCAAAGCTGTCTATGGTTACTTCAAATCAGACCTGCTGTCACCAGGATTCAGTAAGAGGGACCCAGTTAGAAACTCAGTGTTCTCCGATCATTCATGGGAAACTTCTCTACTGTGGTCTTCATATCTTATTCTTACCCTGATGCTTCAGCAGTCTGTTGCATTCACATATTTAAAATTTTCCATCCTCAAGTTCTTTCCCTCAGCCTACATGTCTGCTCAATTATTCCTTGGGGGGTTTCCAGGAGAGGATGGGACAGATGGAACCTCTTCTCAATCTCCTTTGCACACAATCACTCTAACCATCCTTTGTACCTCCTAACTTAACTACCTTTCACTTCATTCTTCTATTGTTTCTTCTTCCTCAATTCCTATTCCTTCCCCAACTCATTGCTTCTGTCCCAACAATGCTGAATTATTTTGGTCTGGTGTGGTGCTTCAGGATCAGCACTGGACTGTGAACCACAAGGTCAGCAGTTCAAACCCACCAACTGCTCCTCAGAAACCTGATACAGTGTCGCTATGTATTGGAACCAACTGGACAGTACTTAACAATAACAAAGCCATTAATGGTACCTGGTGTGGTGCTGTAGGATAACTACTGGACTTGATAACCACAAGACTGTTCAAACCCACCAGTCAATCTTGAAAACCCTATACATGATCTCTATGAGTAAGAAGTGACTCAACAACACATACCAACAAAACCATTATTGAGCTCTTAATTATTAATCCAATAGTCTGTCTACCCCTTATTGTATTTGACTGCTTTGATGAATAGACTGTTATCTGTTGTGTTGTTAAGTGAGGAAGTGCATTTGAGCATCTGACCTTATGGTCCAGTGCATTATCCCACAGTGCCATTCCAGGTCTCCATTTATTGTTGTTACATGCTGTCAAGTCAATTCTGACTCATGGCAACTCTGTATAGGGTTTCCAAGGAGCATCTGGTGAACTTGAACTACTGACCTTTCAGTTTAAACCGACCTTGCAGTGCAGAGCATTAACCCACAATGCCACACCAGGACTCCATTTATGCCCTCTTCAAACTCTTCTCTCTCAGTCTGGGAGACATAATATCCTAATCTTACATGCCTGTCCATATCCGTGGCAACATCGAGCTTAGTCATTTAACTTGATACAGCAGAGGATAAAAAGTGCTTGAGCAGTCATATGAATGGTTGAATGTGAAACTGATGATCTGCCCTGTAAACTTTCACTCAATCCACAATAAAAACCTTAAAAAAAAGTGCTTGAGCAATGCTGTTTCCTTCTTCCTCCTCTACCAGAACAATGAGACCATGTGTAGGCTAGCATGGCAGGGAGATAAGAGAGACATACTGTGCTGTAGCAGTTGGCATTGCGTTAATTCTCGCTCATGGCTACCCTATGTTTTTGATAAAAATTTGATCAAGGGATAAGGAACACTCCAGGCATCACAGCGTATTCCAACAACTGAGCAGCTTAATATCAGAAGGAAGAGCTATAGAAGAAACAAGGGCAGAGAAGTAAGCAGCAGGGAACTCGTAGCAGTCTTTGTACATGGTCTTGATAAGCTATCCTGAAGGCAGTGAATGGGACATCACTAAAAGGAACTAGGAAACAATGTAATAAACTTGATAAATTATATATGTCAGAAAATGGGGATGATGAGATTCATTTGTTGGTGTCAGGTGCATCAAATCAATTTTTAGCTCATAGAGACCCCGTGTGACAAAGCAGAACTTCCCCATACGGTTATCTAGGCTATAATCTTTAAGGGACCAGATTGCCAAGTCTTTTTTTTTCCCCCAGAGTCATTGGATGGGTTCAAAATGCCAATCTTTTGGTTAGCAGCTGAGTGCTTAAACCATTGTGTCCCTGTTGTTATTATGTGCTGTGAAGTCAGTTCTGACTCACAGCAACCCTATACAGGGTTTCCAAGGAGCAGCTAGTGGGTTTGAACTGCCAACCTTGTGGTTCCCAGTCCAGTGTTGATCCTACAGCGCCATACCAGTACTCCACTGTGTCACTGGTGGTGGCTGTGTGCCGTGGAGTCCGTTCCAACTCATAGCGACCCTGTATAGGGGTTCCGAGACTGTAAATCTTTATGGGAGCAGAAAGTCTCATCTTTCTCCTGCAGAACGGCTGGTAGTTTCGAACTGCTGACCCTGAGGTTAGCAGCCTGACTCGTAACCACTAGGCTATCAGAGCTCTTTACTAGGGATCCTTATTTATATGTTAGGGTTACACTAAGAACTAAAACAGGAAATTTATTGACTATGCTTAGCTGGGTACGTGGTTGTTGTTGTTGTCAGGTGCCATCGAGTCAGAACCGACTCATAGCGACCCCATGCACAGCAGAACAAAACAATGTCCGATCCTGGGCCAACCTCACTACCGCTGCCACACTTGATGCCATCAATGATGTCACCTGGCTGATCCATCTCTTTAGGGGTCTTCCTCTTTTTCTCTGACCCTCCATCTTACCCAGCATGCCATCCTTCTCCAGCGACTGTTTTATTCGGACAATGTGTCCAAAGTATGAGAGACGAAGCCTAGCCATCTTGGCCTCCAAGAAGCACTCTGGTTGCACTTCTTCCAAAACAGATCTATTAGTTCTTTTGGCAGTCCATGGCACTTTCAGTATTCTCCTCCAACACCACAACTCAAAGGCATCCATTCTTCTACGATCTTCCTTATTCACTGTCCAGCTTTTGCATCCATATGAGGTTATTGAAAATACCATGGCTTGGGTCAGGTTCACCTTAGTCCTCAAGCTGACATCTCTGCTCTTCAATACTTTAAAAAGTTCCCGTGCAGCAGATTTGCCCAATGTAATACGTCGTCTGATCTCTTGACTGTTGCTTCCATGAGTGTTGATAGTTGATCCAAGAAGAATGAAGTCCTTGACAACCTCAATCTCTTCTCCATTGATAAGAATGCTGTTTATTGGTCCAGTGGTGAGGATTTTTGTTTTCTTTATATTGAGTTGTAATCCATACGTAAAGCTGTGCTCTTTGATCTTCATCAGTAAATAGTTTTAGTCCTCTTCACTTTCAGCAAGCAAGGTTGTATCATCTGCATACAACCAGAAGAGTTGTGGGATGACATCAAGAACATCATACATGAACAGAGCAAAAAGTCATTAAGAAGACAAGAAAGAAGGAAAAGGTAAAAATGGATGTCAGAGGAGACTCTGAAACTTGCTCTCCAGCGTAGAGAAGCTAAAGCAAATGGAAGAATTGAAGAGGTCCAAGAGCTGAACAGAAAATTTCAAAATCAGCTCGAGAAGATAATACCAAATACTATAATAAAATATTATGCAGAGATTTAGAGTTGGATAACCAAAAGGGAAGAACACGGTCAGCATTTCTCAAGCTGGGGGAACTAAAGAAAAAATTCAAGCCTCGACTTTTGTTATTGAAAGATTCTCTGGGAAAATTATTGAATGATGGCATCAAGAAAAGATGGAAGGAACAAGCCTCGACTTTTGTTATTGAAAGATTCTCTGGGAAAATTATTGAATGAAGGCATCAAGAAAAGATGGAAGGAACACATAGAGTCATTGTATCAAAAGGAAATGGTTAATGTTCAACCATTTCAAGAGATACCATATGAACAAGAGCCAATGATACTCAGGGAGGAAGTCCAAAATGCATTGAAGGAATTGGGTACATGGTAGCTGCTTCAAAAAAGTACCATTAGGGTAAGCTGCTCATGCCTAGGTGACATGTCTTAGTCCATATCCTAGCACTGGAGATGATTCCCAGGAATCTCAATACAATTAATAAAAACAAATACATTTTAGTGTCTCACATGCCAGATCAATACCAAGTATCGTTCAGCTCATATCAGGACTTTGCTGAAGTGATTCTTTCAAAAATACAGAAGGCTTTTTGCCTAACTTCATCAAACTAATCTCCATACCGCTCAATAAAGTAAATAAAAATATGATGCAAGCATTTCAATTGATAAATTCCTGTTAAGTAAAAGAACAGTTTCTATATTTTTCTAACTAATGATATGGTGAGAAGTGATAGTTTATTCAAACCTGTATTTAACACACTGTATATTTTCAAAACAAAATTCATATGTTTGTTTGAAGTGAATGAATCTTACCTTTAAAAAGAAGGGCATAAAGGAGAGTTTAATTCCACGAGCTAAAGCAACAGGTTTTAATTCTTCTCGTAACTTAACCAGTTCAGTCAGGTCAACCTCATCACAATACCCAAAGTGAGGAATCTTCAGGGCTGCAGTCATGGACTTCACCATTGCTTTGTGAAAGCCTGGAAAACATTCAATTCATTGTTTTAAAATTCTTAACAATATCCTTTTCTAACCAAAATAGAGGATTCTCTAATGTGGTTTAGGGGTGGTGCAAAGGGTTAAGCAATACGCTACTAACTTAAAGGTTAACTGTTCGAACCCACCCAGGGGCACCTTGGAGAAAAGACCTGCTTCCACAAGGTCCTAGCCTTGAAACTTCTCAGCTTTACTCTGAAACATGAGTCAGGATTAGCTGCAGGGTTTTTTGGGTTCTCATGTTTACTTGCGCAATAAAACTCTCCCTCCTGGAGCTACCACCTTCATTAAATAACATAACTTGGAAGCCACTCATTTCACAACTGTAACCAGTAACGTATGATGCCGATGCTAAGCCGTTCCAACTCATAATGACCCTGTACACGGTTTCTGAGGCTATAATTCTTTGCAGGAGCAGAAAGTCTTTCTTTCTTTCTCCCTCGGAGATTGGTGGGCTTGAACTGCTGACCTTGTGGTTCGCATTCCTGTGCTTTTCCTTTGGAGCCACTGTGCTTCGTTAAATGTGATGGTATATAAGAACTTCCCCAGGATACAAGCCATATCTTGCTGAATGGCCTTCTTGGAAACCTACTCTCCCAGAAGGTAATCATCCTAACAGTTTGTAAGTAACAAATCAGAAACAGTTATTTTGAAACTTAACTAAAAATCACGTATGTTTAAAATACTCTCTGTGAGCCACCAAACAGAACAATTACTAGTATACAAGTCTATATTCAGAGAAACCCGCCATAGTATTACTCCTCAGAAATTAACAGTATAAACTGAAGCTTTCCTTGTAAATGGCTATTTTATTTTATTTTAAAACAGTTATATGCTGAATCTGAATTTTTCTTTCTGTACGAATTGAAAACACTCTGTTGTATATACAGATCTCTTAGAGTATCTTCTCCCAAAATAAATATGTTATTGCTTTGAACTGCTGTTAGTATTACTATTATTACCTTTCAAGGGTTCTGTTCTGTCTTTGCCTGTGAATACTGCAGGTTTTGACACTGGCATAGGAACAGTCCTGTCTTTCGGTTTTGGTGGTGGCGGCATAATTTCAGCTTTGGGTGAAGGAGGTAATATAGCTCCTGTCTGCTTTTCCAGATAGTTGAGAATATCTTCTTTAAGTATTCTGCCATCTTTTCCTGAGCCAACAACTTCACTCAACTTAATCTGAAAAAAAAAAAAGATACATTTTAATGTTAAAAAGAAAATGGAATCTAATCAACTGATGGCAAAAATCTAGCTATCTAAAAAAGTAGTACAAAGAAATATGAGCTATAAACGATGGCTACCTTTTACAAGTAATGGTTTATCACCTTTGTATACACAGTTTACTTACGCATGTGGTAACTATACAGTATCTACATTGTTGTTGTTGTTAAGTGCCATCGAGTCGGTTCCGACCCATAGCGAACCTGTACAGGGTTTCCGAGGGTGTAAATCTTTACGGGAGTAGAAAGCCTCCCCTTAAATGCTAGCCATTGAGTCAATTCGGACTCACAGTAAGCCTATAGGACACAGTACAACTGCCCAGAGGGTGTCCAAGCCCCTTCGTATATAAGTCATCAAACTAAACCAAGCCAAATCTCATCAAATCAATTCTGACTTATAGCGATCCTGTATAGGATTTCTGAGGCCATAAATCTTTACAGGAGTAGAAAGCCTCATCTTTCTCCCACTGAGCATCTGGTAGGCTTGAAATACCAACATTTTAGTTAGCAGTCCAGTGCTTGTCCGACAGTGCCACCATGTTGCTGTTGTTGCTAACAGCCACCCAGTTAGTACCAACTCATAGCGACCCTATGCACAAAAGAATGAAACACTGCCCAGTCCTAGGCCAACCTCACAATCGATGCTTGTTTGAGCCCATTGATGATGATGCTACTGTACCAATCCATCTTGCTGGGGTCTTCCTCTTTTTTCTCCAATCCTCTACTTTACTAAACACAATATCCAGGGACTGGCTCCTCCTGATATTATGTCTGAAGTTTGAGAGACGAAGTCTGGCCATCTGACTTCCAAGGAGTACTCTGGCTGTACTTTTTCCTACACAGATCTATTTGTTCTTTTGGCAGTCCATGGCACTTTCAATAGTCTCCTCTAACACCATAACTCAAATGCATCAATTCTTTGACGGTCTTCCTTATTCACTATCCAACTTTCACATGCATGTTGCTGTTTTTAGATGCGATTGAGTAGGTACCGACTCATAACGACCCTATGCATAACAGAACGAAACACTGCCCGATCCTGGGCTAACCTCTCAATTGTTGCCACGCTTGAGCCCATTGATGCTGCCACTTTGCCAGTCGCTGGGGGTCTTCCTCTTTTTTTCTGACCCTCCATTTTACCAAACATGATATCCCTCTCCAGTGATTGGTCCCTCCTGACAATATGTCCAAAGTATGAGACAAAGTCTCTTTAAAGTGTTCAACAGCAAAGATGTTAGTTGGAGGACTAAGGTGCCAATCTTTTGGTTAGAAGCTGTTTCTGTATTGCCTTTAGTAAAACTTTACTCGCATGAGATATCAAAGTGATTGTCTGATGATTTTCACATTCCATTGGGTCACCTCTCTTTGGAATGGGCACAGATATGGATCTCTTCCAATCAGTTGGCCAGATAGTTGTCTTCCAAATTTTTTGGCAAAGATGTGTGAGTGCCTCCTGTGCCGCCTCACTTTCTTGAAAGATTTCAATTTTTATTCCATCAATTCCTGGAGCCTTGTTCTTTGCCAATTCCTTCAATGTACCATTGGATATCAATTTTTATGCATTCCATTTCATTTTTGACAACTTCTAGTTTCCTAGGTTTATGCTTCATACATTCTATGTTCCAATTATTAATGGATGTTTGCAGCCATTTCTCCCCATTTTGAATTATGCCCATCTGCAAATAAAGGTCCCCAGAGCTTTCCTCAATATGTAATCATGGTCAACTGTATTTTGAGAAGTCAGCTCTTTCCTATTATGTTCTGCGTACATTCCATTGTGAGGGGCTCATCTTCTGGCACAGTGTCTGACAATATTCTGGTGCTATACATGAAGTTTTCATCTTCTGCTTCACTGCTATCCATATGGTTTTCAGTGGATAAGCATTCAGCAGTAGTCTTCCTCTCCTTCTTCTAGTCTGTTTTACTCTGGAAACTCCACTAAAATCTATTCATCATGGGTAACCCCGCTGGTATTTAAAATAACAATAGCATAGTTTCCAGTATCATAAAGGTAATATGTTATATAATTAAAAAAATAACATTGGTACATGTTTTATAGCTTTCAAAGCAATATATGAAATCGTTATTTCACCAGATTCCCTGAACAACCTAATGTTCCATATTATTATTTCCTCTTATGCTAAATGATCTCCATATTTGAATGCATACTCTGGTAGCCTAGCGGTTACGAATTGGGCTACAAACCACAAGGTCTGCAGTTCGAAACTACCACCTGTTCTGCAGGAGAAAGATGAGACTTTCTGCTCCCATAAAGATCTACAGCGTTGGAAACCCTGTACAGGGTCACTATGACCAATTCCACGGCACATAACCACCACCAATGACTACATATATTTTCATATTTGGTTTATAACATAATTTCCCCAAGCATTTCCCCCATTTTGAACATTAATACTTCTTCTAATTTTTGGTTTTATATAAACACACAGAAAAGACTGTACCCTCGATTTTTTTTACTTAGGATAGTTCCCCAGTGGTAGCATCACTGGTTGAGGGTAGTGAACATTTCAATGGCTTTTATTACCAAAATATTTCCAAAATGAAAACTTTTTCTTTCTTTCTTTTTAAAGTATAACTTAAATAATAATTAACCAAAACAGACAAATTAAAAAAAAAAAAATGCAACCTACACCTATAAATGCAGTAGCTCAAAAGAGGAAACAAATCCCTGCTGCAAGAACTATTCCCACCCTCCACACAAAGGGTAGACAGGGATGGGCAACTTGGACATTGGCTACCCAAAATGGGGGAGGGATACAAAGGTAAGAAGTGACTGGCTTACAAGCTTTCAAGAGGGAACCTAGATCCAAAGGGCGTGGAGGACGGTAGAGTCTCCAGTGAATAGTATCCAGCCTGTCCAGGAAGGGCTGATGAAACGAAATACAGATGGGTCTCTTGTGATGCAATGGTGAATAACTGTTATCCCATGTAGACTATCACACAATTCACAATAAAACATTTATTTAAAAAAAAAAATGCATTATGGAACACAGCAAAAACAACTCAGCCTTTGGAGCCAGACAGACTTGTGTTCAAATCCCCCGTCCCGCTACTTACTTGTTTTAGGCAAGTGATCTTCCTCCCTGCCCTTTCTAATTTTTAAAATGGGCATAATAGTGCTAAAGCAATGAATAGAGATAATATGTGTTAGAGATAATAGAGATAACACTGTTTGACACAAAAGTAATGAAATAATAGAAGTGATGATTGTTGAGGCAGCGTATCATGATTAACAGCAAGAGTTTTGAAATGACACAGATCTACACTTTGGAATCCTGACACCACCACTTTCTTATAACTGTGTGACCTTTGACTAGTTATTTACAGGGCTTCAAACCAGTTTATTCCAGACTGACCTCCTGATAAGAATTTGCATTTCCACCCCCAAATATTCAGTTTGAATCCCAAAGCTCACCAGTCACTCCTTGCAAACCCTATACAGGACTGCTATGGATTGGAATAGACTCCACTCAACAGTACTTAATAACAACAACAATACTGACTCAGAATCTACATTTTGACAAACTCACCTGGGAATCTGTAAGAATCACCCTAGGATCTTATTAAAATATAGATTATGTGGCCATCTAAGAGACAATTAAAGGGGCCCTGGTAGCATAGTAGGTTATATGACAGGCCAGCAGACGGAATCAACCAGTAGCTCTGCAGGGGAAACAGGATCCCATAAAGATTTACTGCCTCAGAATCCCTAGTCAGAGAGGCTATGAACCGATTTGAGGGCACATAACAACAAAGGTACAATTATTGGCCTCTTTCTGTTTTGGAAATCAAAACTCAAGGAAGTTCAAAAACTAATGGCGCATAAAAAACACAATCTTGTCTAATCTGAAATCAGACTAGATGGTGCTTGACTATCATTACAGACCATTCTAACCAGGGATACAATAGAAGATCCTGGTTAGAAAGGGAGAAAAATGTAGAGCAAAACTCAAAATCATTAAAAAGACTAGACTTACTGGAATAATTGTTGTTATTATTGTTGTCAGGTGCCTTCGAGTTGCTCCCGACTCACAGCAGCTCGATGTACAACAGAACAAGACACTACCTGGTCCTGCACCAACCTCACAATCGTTGCTACACTTAAGCTCACTGTTGCAGTCATCGTGCCAATCCATCTCGTTGGGGGTCTTCCTCTCTTTCTCCAACTCTCCATTTTTACCAAACATGATATCCTTCTACATTGATTGATCCCTCCTGATAATATGCCAGAAGTATGAGAGATGAAGTTGGATCATCGTGACTTCCAAGGAGCATTCTGGCTGTATCTCTTCCAACATAGGTTTGTTTGTTCTTTTGACAGTCCATGGTACTTTTAATATTCTCCTCCAATACCATAACAGAAATGTATCAATTCGATGGTCTTCCTTATTTACTGTCCAACTTTTGCAAGCATATGAGTTTATTGAAAATACCATGGCTTGCATCAGGCACACCTTAGTCCTTAAACTGACATCTTTGCTCTTCAATACTTTAAAAGGTCTTGTGCAGCAATTTGCCTAATGCAACACATTGTTTGATTTCTTGGCTTCTGCTCCCATGAGTGTTGATAGTTGATCCAAGAAGAATGAAGTCCTTGACAACTTCAATCTTTTCTCCATTTATATGGATGTTGTTTATTGATCCAGTATTGAGGATTTTTGTTTTCTTTACATTGAGGTGCACCCCACACTTAATATACTTGCTGATGAAGATCTCTGATCTTCATTTTGCATTTCACAGGTTGTTAATGAGTCTTCCTTTAATCCTGATGCCACGTTCTTCTTCAAATAAATCCAGCTTTTGGGATTATGTGCTCAGCATATAAATTGAATAAGTGTGGTGAAAGTCTATAACCCTGGCGTACCCCTTTCCGAATTGTGTTCCTTTGGCTCAGAAAACTGCCTCTTAGTCTATGTACAGGTTCCTATGAGCACAATTACGTGTTCTGGAATACTCATTCTACAAAATGTCAATAGCTTATTATGATCCACACAATCAAAAACCTTAGTGTAGACAATAAAGCACAGATAAACATCTTTCTAGTATTCTCTGCTTTCAGCCAAGATCCATCTGATGTAACACCTATTTTTGCCTTTTCCTTCTTTCCTGTCTTCTTAATGACTTTTGAGTTCTTCCTGTATGATGTTCTTGATATCATCCCACAACTCTTCTGGTCTTTGGTCTGTAGTGAGTAATGCATCAAATCTGTTCTTGAGATGATATCTAAATTCAGGTGGGATATGTTCAAGGTTATATTTTGACTCTTGTGTCCTTTTAAAATTATTCTTTAGCTTCAGCTTGAACTTGCAATATGAGCCGTTGATGGTCTGTTCCATAGTCTGGCCCTGGCCTTGTTTTAAGGGGCTGATATGGAACTTTTCCATCATCTATTTCCATAGATGTAGTCAATTTTATTTTTGTGTATTCCATATGGTGAGGTCCATGTGTATAGTATTCTTTTATATTGTTTAAAAAGGTTTTTGCAATGTAGAAGTCACTGGTCTTGCAAAATTCTGTCTTGCAATCTCCAGGATCATTTCTATCACTAAGACCGTATTTTCCATCTACTGATCCTTCCTCTGCTTCCAACTTTTGCATTCCAATCACCAGTAATTATTAATACATCTTGATTGCATGTTTGATCAACTTCTGACTGAAGAAGTTCATAGAATTCTTCATTTTCATCATCACTGACTTTAGTGGTTGATGTGAAAATTTGAATAATAATGGTAGTAACTAGTATTCCTTGTAGGTGCACAGAGATTATCCTATCACCAACCGTGTTGTACTTCAAGACGGACGTTGGTATATTCTTTTTAATGATGAATGTGACAACATTCCTCTTCAATATGTCATTCCTGGCATAGTAAATCATGTGCTTGTCAAATTCAAAATCGCCAATGCTAGTCCATCTCAGCTCACTAATACGTAGGATTATCAATGTTTATGCATTCCATTTCATTTTTGACCACTTCTAATTTTCCTAGATTCATACTTCATACATTCCATGTTTTATTTTTAATGGATGCTTACAGCTGTTTCTCTTCATTTTGAGTTGTGCCCCATCAGAAAATGAAGGTCCCAAAGGTTTTATTTCATTCGTGTTATCACAGTCAACTCTATTTTGAAGAGGCAGCTCTTCCCCTATTGTATTGAGTGCTTTCCAACCTGAGGGGCTCATCTTCTGGCACTATATATTTGACAGTATTCTGGTACTCTTCATAGTGATTCAATAGTCAACATTCTGGTGCTATCTAACAGTGTTCTATTGCTATTCCTCAGGTTTTTAGTTATTAAATATTCGAAAGTAGTCCATCTCTCTTTCTTCCTAGTCTGTCTTCGTCTGAAAGTTCAGCTGAAATGGGTGTCCCTGCTGGTATTTAAAACACTGGGGACATAGCTTCTAGAATCACAGCAACATGCAAGCCACCACAGTATGACAAACTGACAGGTGAGTGGTGGACTGTACAGATAGACTGATGGAATTCTTGAGACTATCACCCTAAGACACCCTTTCAAAACTGGAACCTGAGTCACTCCTGGAGGTCACCTTTCAGCAAAGTAACAGATTGGCCTATGAAGCAAACAATAACACCCATGAAAGATGTGGTCCTTAAAACAATCAACTACGTGAAACCCAACTGGCAACATTTGCTCAAAAGCAGAGATGAGCTAACAAGAAGGAGGTACATGAGCCAGGAAAATGGGTAAGTCAGGGTGAAAATGCAGAGAATGCTAGGAGGGAAGGACAGCAACCAATGTCAAGCAATTATTTGTGTATAAATTGTTGAACAGAAAAAAACTAATTTGCTTTGTAAACTTTCAGCTAAGCACAATAAAATATGTTAAAAAAATAAAATGTAGATTCTAATTCAGTATATCTGGGGTGGGAAGGCAAACTCTGAGCAGGGAAATGAACCAGTTGGATGCCCTTGGCTGATAATAATTACCTCACAGGGCTGTTAAAAACACACACAAAAACCAACCCACTGACACTGACTCATAGTGACCCTTTTTGGAAGAGGAGAATTCTGTAGGGTTTCCAAGTGCATAAATGGTTACAGGAGCAGATAGCCTCCTTGTTCTCTCACAGAGCTGCTGATGTTGCAGGTGTTATTACCCAACACTTAATCCATTACACTATTCGGCCTCCTTACTGCCATCACCATCAATTCAGACTCCTAACAACCCTGTGTAGGGGTTCTGAGGAGCATCTGGCATGTTTGAACAGCCAGCCTTGCAGTTACCAGTGCAGTGCTTACCTTGCAGTGTGCACCATGACTCCAGGGCTTCTTATAGTTGCTGTTAAGTGCTGTCCAGTGGGTTCCGACTCATAATGACTCTTAATAGTGTATCCAAGTAGCAGCCAGTGGGTTTGAACTATCAGCCTTGTGGTTATCAGTCCAGTACTTATCCTAATGTACTACCCTAGGACTCCTTGTTGCTGTTGTTGTTGTTAAGTACTCTTGAGTCGGTTCTGACTCGTAGTAACCCTGTATAGGGTTTCCAAGGAGGGGTTGGCGGATTTGAACCACGGACCTATGGTTAGCAGTCCAGTGTTTAACCTACAGCACCACACTAAAACTCTTAGGGTTCCTAGGTGAAGATTAAATAAGATAACAAGCAAATTGCTAGGGAGGTTGAGCATTCCACCCTCATCAGGCAAAGACTGACAAGTAGTGGCATACAAAAGACCAGCAACCTTGTCTAAAGGCAATACATTCTGTAGCGCACCTCATTCACTTCTGATCAGATCAGTTCCTGGAGAAGACATCCTTACCTTGCCTGTTGTTGTTACTGGTTAAGTGCCGTTAACTTGGTTCCAATTCATATCAAACGGCTGATGAGTTTGAACCGTCGACTTTGCGGTTCAAACTGACCTTGTGGTCCAGTGCATTATCCTACAGCTCTATACCAGGATTCTCTATCCCATTTGGTCCCTTCCTTAGCTTCCTCCCTCGCTCCCTTAGCAATGTTTGACTGCCTCAATAAATCAGTCACATGTATGTGAATTCTTGTCTCAAGCTTTGCTTCTAGAGTACCTGAGCTAAGACACTTTGCTGTTGTTGTGTGCCCTGTATGACTCACAGTGACCCTGTATAAGGTTTTCAAGGAGCAATTGGTAGATTTGAACCACTGACCTTGAGGTTAATAGTCCAATGCTTATCCTATAGTGCCACACCAGGACTCCATTAATATCATTAGCCTCTAAGAAAAAATAATAAAACCACACTGCTTAATTATTACAAGTATTAAGTTTGGAGTCCTGGTGTGGCACTGAAGGATAAGCACTGGATCACAAGGTTGATTTGAACCACAAGGACAGTGGTTCAAATTCACCACTGCTTCTCAGAGACACTACACAGGGTTGCTGTCAGTAAGAACCAACTGATGGAACTTAACAACAACAACAATATTAAGTATACACTTCTCATTTCTCATGAATACTTTTAAGTAACTATCACTTTTCAGCAACGTATTTTCAGATTTTTTTTCATCCCAGCTTGAGCCATTTCATCATGGAATGACTGGCTAAATTTTAAGAGATACAAATTCATACTTTATGTTCCATGCCACAATTAAAATAGTAAGGAAATTTACATTGTTTTCCATTGCAAGGCGGCGAACTGCAGGAGTTGCCAGTGTTTTTTGGCCTTTTATTTCTTGGTGTGTGTGTTCATCATGGGACACAGCAGGAGTTTCGACAACATCTTCTTCTGAATCTGGTAACAAGATAAAACTTTAGTTGAAAACATTAAAATAAATAATAATAATAATAAAAGCTTAATGACTTACAAACCTAAATACATTCAACGTAAAAGTTTATAGTCAACATGCAAAAATACTTGGTGGGTTACTTCAGAATAGGAAAACACAGTTATACTAACAGTGGGGGTTGAAGGGCTAAAGAGATGGTACTATAATCAACAGGCTAGAAATGAAGGCTATTGTACTACTAGCAGTTGGTGACCATTATTTCATGGTACTTAAACCTGGCACTAAGGAGCTCTGGAGTCCTGGTGTGGTGCTGTGGATTAAAGCGCCAAAACTACAAGGTCAGTTTCAATTGCAAGGTCAGTGGTTCATGCTCACCAGCTGCTCCTCGGAAACCCTATACAGGGTGGTAACTATGAGTAGGAACCAACTCCACAGCACACCACCACCACCACATGTGGCACTAAGGAGCTCTGATAGTGTAGTGGTTACAAGTTAGGCTGTTAACCAAAAGGTCAGCAGTTCGAAACTACCAGCCATTCTACAGGAGAAAGATGAGGCTTTCTGCTGCCATAAAGATTTACAGCCTTGGAAACCCTATGCAGGGTCACTATGAATCAGAATTGACTCCACAGCACACCACCACCAACCATACCTGGTTGGTTGGTTGGTTTTGTGCTGTGGTGTCGGTTCCGACTCATAACGACCCCATGCAGGGTTTCCAAGACTGTAAATCTTTACAGGAGCAGAAAACCATATCTGGCACTGGTTAATGACTACTATTACCTGATGTTTTCTGTTCATTTGTGTTAAATAATATAGCAGCTACAAACTAAAGGGGAAATTTCTTCCACACAGTTTAAAACATATTAAACATTTTTCTATTACATTTCTCTTATTTACATTTTTAAAAAGCACAAAATAAGAAACAAATGCAAGGTAAATGATATGAAAGATCCAAGTAAAATCTGTGGCAATTTAAAATACTTTCTAAAGATGATATAGCACTTAATTTTTCCTTTGCTTTGAATGCTATTTAAGGACTGCTTTGGAGTTCTGTAAGATAAGCACTGGATTGCTAACCACAAGGCCAGTGGTTCAAACCCACAATCTGCTCCTTGGAAACCTTATACAGGGTCACTATGAGTCAGAACCAATTCAACGGCACCTAACAGCAACAACATATGAAAGATTTTGGAGTCCTGGTGTAGCACTGTAGGATAAACACTGGGCTGCTACCTGCAGGGTGGGCAATTTAAACCCATCAATCATTCCTCAGAAACCCTATACGGGGTCACGATGGGTCAGAACTGACTCAAGGGCATTCAACAACAACAATGGAAGATTTTATTTTCGTAGCTAATGCTAATTTGATTGCTATATAAACTCAAGAGAAATTATGCATACTACTATCGTGTATTTTTGCAAACAAAGAGAAATTGTTTTTGAGAGTATTTCATTCTCACAGCCTGTTGTCAGGAAACAAAGTTGTACAGCAGAATCTCTGTGAGAAATGGTCAATTAGAGACAACTTCTGAAAATCAGCAGGCAACTGAGTTTGTTTTGGCATTCATTCTAAGAAAAAAAATGTTTTCCACTCTGCAATTATTAAAAGACAGTTCATTCATTCCTCCTCATTAGTCAATGAATTAGCCAAACTTGAAGAATTCCCCTGAAGGTGAGGAAAAGATCGAAAGGAGAAACAGAAAAAACTCCAACAATTTGTATTTGTTCTGACTCATAGCAACCCTGTGAAGGGGTTCTGAGGAGCGACTGGTGGGCTTGAAGCACCGACTTTGCAGTTAGCAGTCCAGGGCTCACCTTACAGCCTGCCACCAGGACTCCAAAAACAGCCAACAGCACCCGGTATTACCAGGTAGCCTGCCATCCAAGTACTAACCAGGCCTGACCAATCTTTATTAATCAACTGTTAACGCTATGAGTCGTAACCAACTCCATGGCTCATACGCCATGTGCCAAACACTATGCTTACAAGTGCGATGTCTTAATTTAATCTTCATTCCAAGTAGATAAAATAGGCATTATTCCCATTTTAAAGAGAAGGATAGTGAGGCTTGAAAAACAAAAAGGAAATGCCTAAGGTCACACACTTAAGCAGATTGGAGAGCTGATATTCAAACCTAGGGCTGGCTCAAGTCAGTGTTCTTTCCACTAGTTCAGAACCCTAGGAAATTTTCTTTTTGGTCAAATTAGCTTATAAATCATATAGTTCAAAGTATAATTTTGTCAGACTTTGAGAATCTCTGTATATTTATATTCTGTGTGTTAAAATTATTGCATATGAGCATACTATTTTATAGAATTAGAGTTGTAAGAAAGTTTAGCATTAGAAACTAAGATTCAAAGGGAAATCAAAGGGCTCACTTTTAGAAACTCCAAATACCAATTTGAATACTGCATATTTATAAAAATAATAGAAATGTATAAAGATTCAAATAAATATCAATATTATTAATTATTTTCAAAAGATCAAGTAATTTACTGCTGTTCACATTGCTGAAAAACACTGAAATTGTGTGTGGGGTGGGGGGTTGACATCACTTTTAATAGTACTGCCTTTTAGAACTGAGTATATGAATGACGGCATTCTGGTATGTCGATGTAGAACAAGCACTTGACCACAAGGTCAGTTTGAACTCCAAGGTCGTCAGTTTAAACTCACCAGCTGTTCCATGGAAACCCCATACAGGGTCGCTATGGGCCGGAACCAACTCGACACCACTTAACAACATATGAATGATAACACAAACTTAAAATTGATTTGTGAGAACTCCCTCAATATTACATATTACACATGCCTTATAGCAGTCACACCATCCCCTCTTCTGCCCAGCTACCCATGCTAGGGTGCCTTGCAGCGGCAGTACCAGTTCCTATGCCCAGCCACCCAAGCCAGGGCCTGCAGGTGAGAGGCATTCATTTTTCTGCTTGGCCACCCATGCTGGGAGTCTGGGTACAGGTGGCACCCCTTGTTCTACCTAGGCAACTTCGCAGGGAGACTGAGAGCACCCCACCATTATGCCCAGCAGTCCACACCAACATTGCCTGGGGATCCATCCAGCCACAGATACCAAGTCAACAGCTTAAATGTACCAGTAAAGTGACAGACAGTGACAGAATGGAGAAGGAACAAATTAACCCATCAATATGTTGTCTATAAGAGACATATCTTAGACATCAAGACATAAATAAACTAAAACTCAAAGGCTGGGAAATCATAACATGAAGCAAACAAGCATTAAAGAGCAGAAGTAGCAACATTAATCTCTGATAAAACAGATGTTAAGGCAAAATACACTATAAAAGATAAGGCAGGACATTATATAATGATTAAAGGGTCAATCTACCAAGAGAACATGTGGGAGAAAGATGAGGCTTTCTGTTCCCACAAAGATTCAAAAAGACTTGGAAAACTTACACAGGGTTTTTTGGAGTGTTAATGTATATGTGTGTGAGGTTGGTTGATAACTGCATTAAGATCTTCTGTATCCTTGTTGAATATCTTTCTAGTTGTTCTATCCTTATTTGAAAGTGGTGTGTTGAAGTCTCCTATTAATGTGGAATTATTTCTCTTTCCAGTGCTGTTAGAGTTTGTTTAATGTAATTTTGTTGTTGTTGATATGTGCCATGGAGTCAGTTCCGACTCATAATGACCCTGTACAGGGTTTCCAAGGCTATAAATCTTTACTGAAGTAGAGCGCTTTCAAAGGATGAAGCTTTCTGCAGGAGCTCTGGTAGTGCAGTGGTTACGAATCGGGTCAGAAGTTTGAAACTACCAGCTGTTCCATGGGAAAAACACAAGGCTAATGTAATTTGGGGCCCTGCCATTGGGTGCATATATATTTATTTATGGTTATATTCTCTCTTAGGTGCCATCGAGTCAGTTCTGAATCATAGCGACCAGCAGCCAAGTGTACGTGCTTTGCCAATACACACAGATCATTCTCCAGAATAAACAACAAAGTCTAATAAATGAGTAAGAGACACTCTCTTTAACAGATGGTGCTGGCAAAATAGGTTTATCTGCAGAAAAACTAAATTGGACCCAGACATCACACCATACAAAAAAAGTAACTCAAGACAGATCAAAGACCTAAGTATAAAACCTTAAAACTATGGTAATTATGGAGAGAAGAAAAAAACCCAAAAAACTCAGTGGCTGCCATATGCCACTGAGTCAGTTCTGACTTACAGCAACCATGTACAGAGTTTCTGAGGATATAAATCTTTGAGGGATCAGATAGCCCCATCTTTCCCCTGCAGAATTGTTGGTGGATTTGAACTGCTGACCCTGAGGTTAAGAAGCCCAGTGTATAACCTACCATGTTATGCTACCAGAGTTCCTTAGGTGCAACACTGTTGTTATTAAGTGTGTCGAGTTGGTTCCAAAGCATAGCAACCCTGTATAATGTTTCCAAGGAACAGCTGATAGGTTTGATCTGTCGACCTTGTGGTTCAAGTTCACCTTGCAGTCCAGCTCATTATCCTGCAGCACCACACCAGGACACTGAGTGCAACACTGGTGGTGGTGTGCCGTGGAGTCGGTTCCAACTCATAGTGACCCTGTCTAGCATTTCCAAGGCTATAAATCTTTACAGGAGCAGAAAGTCTCGTCTTTCTCCCATCGAACACTGGTAGTTTCGAACTGCTGACCTTGAAGTTAACAGTCCAACTTGTAATCACTATGCTACCAGAGCTCCTTAGGGGCAACACTAGGGGTCCTAATACATGGCATAAATAGAACACTAAACATAACAAAAAATGCATAAACAGCAAAAGATAAACCAAATAAATGGAATCTCCTAAAAATTCAACATGTATCAAAAAACTTCTACTATAGAGTACAAAGAGAATGTAAAAACAGACTGGGGTAAAAATAAGCAGTAACACATCTGATGTGGTACTAATCTCTAAAACTTACAGAAAACTCAACCAACCAAATTTTAAAAATGGGCAAAGGATATGAATAGATACTTTACCAAAGAAA